TAAAAAAATAAAATATTTTTATTCAACCTAACAAACCATTAATTAGAACCAAATTGGTGCAGACACAAATGGTAATTAAAGATTCTTGTTTAGTTTCTGCTCCAACGCGACTTTTAAAGGTTTTATATTCAGGACTTGAGAGGAGAGGCTACTTCAACGGCTACTGTGAACAATCTTAAATGGTAGTGTAAATGACACAGCTGTGCACTGCTGAGAAAGGAAATCTGTTTTGGACATTAACGCGGATCACAATCATCACTGTCTCGTGTCTCCCAAGAGTACATTATTTTGCCTTGTTTGGCTTCTCTTCCTTCTCCTTTTACACCTAAAAGGAGGAGACACTCTTTTTCCTAGGATTGATGGATATCGTAGTTTCTGACCATACAGTTTATAGGGGAAAGGCTAGGAAGCTGTAAAATCATAATCACTTTGTACGCTAGTGTAAGAATAAGAAGGACAAATGGCTGCAGCAACTAATGACTTACAAATTTGAATGGACGAACTTTGAATTTTTATTTTTTAACAAAAATTTGAATTTAAATTTTATAAATAATAAAATAAATATTAAGAAATTTAATTGAATTTAATTTTAAATTAATAAAAAATTTAATATTAAGAAATTCTTATAAAAAATTACTGTAGGAGAATTTTTAAAACATTTATAAATATCAAAATCTGAAAAAAATTATCATTTTCACCCTTGAAGGAAGATGTATTATTAAGGATGGTAAATTTCTCCGCGACCCACCGAACTTCACGGAGATTCCCGCAACGGGATGAAGATTCTTAGAATATTTCTATCTGTGGGGTGGGGATGAAGGTAATTTTTTACCCGTGAAATTTCATGGGAAATTTTCTTCGCTCCGTGGGGAACCGTGAGGATCCATATAAAATAAAAAAATATATATAAATTTATTTATATATATATTTTTTGTATATATATTAACAATTAATTTTTACTGACCTAACCTAATTAGCTAACCCAATACCAACATAATTTAAATTTCACAATCCATTTTTTTTTCAAATTTTCCAAACCCAATTCTCACTTCTCAGTCCAACCCAATTTTTTTTGTGAATCTAATATTCCTATTTTCTAAACTTAATTGCCCAAATTCACAATTTACAACCCAATTTACAGCCCAATTTACATATAACCCTAGCTGCCTAGCAGAAAGACATTTTACTTTCAGTCCCTTTTTTGCTTGCCGCTTCTTGCAAATTCTTAATTAGGGATTTCCCATTCCTCTCCTCTAATCCTCTGGCACACTCTTCACTCATGCTCAAACTTTGCCCTCATCTCCACGGCCCATTGTGAAGTGTGAATCGGTGCTTTCAGCTTCCCTTCAGCTTTCACCTCTCATCGTGCAACTCACTGCAGCCCTTGGCCCTTGTTGCCCTGCAACTCATCGCTCACCTCCAGCTGAGCTCCAAGGCTACTGCTGGGTCATCTCAGCCAGCCTCTCACTGTGGCAGAGACTCTGAATACTCGCGGGGAACTATTATTCCTCGTGGGGATAAGGATGGAGGCAATTTTTAACCCTCCGCCAAAAATCCCCGTGGGGATCCTCGTACCCACCATTGACGGGGATGGGGATGGGGATGGGGATGGGGATGGGGATAGGGATGGGGAGGGAGTCCTCGCCCCTGTGGGGACCCGTTGCCATCCTTATGTATTATTTTAATATTAAATGTTTTCTTTATTTAAATTTAATATACTTTAAATTATAAAATAAAAATTTAGTGAGATTTATCAACAAAATGGAATTATTCTTTTTCATGACCAAGACCCAGGTTAGCGCAACTGGTTCTTTCCTAATGGCAAAGTC